GAAACTCAGGAAACTTAAAATGGTTGTATTTCAAAAGCAGTTTGTAAAATGATTGCTTCAAACTTAAGAACACATTTTACCAACAGAAACATTTTGAATAAATGCCGATTGAATTTATATATTTGCCAAAAGAAACTCATTTAACTCACAATATATGAAAATTCTGTCTGCATGTTTGCTATGAAAATACAATAAAAAGAAAAAGTGTTGCAATACTAACAATTAGACAAACATTGGAAAATAAAAATGATTTCAAACTAGGCTTATAAAATATATCTGGACATATTTTGAATGCTGATGATTGAGAAACAGCATGTTTAATTAAAGCAGATAGATGAAGATTTCTGTATAGATTCTTAAGGGGATCCTCTGCAAAAGCACTTGTGATCCTTGAGGTATCTCTATTCCAAAACTTTTTTTTTTCATTTCCATTCACTCCTTCAACATATATTTATTGAGAGTAGTATCTAGCATGTGTCAGGCACTGTTCTTGGCACTGCGAATACAAGGTAAGTATACATGGAGAATATATGGGAATACAGGGAGTTTATATTTTAGTGGAAGAAATGAGAAACAAAAAAAAATGGTATCAGGAACTGCTAAGTGCTTTTCCTTAATGGAGGTTTATCATTACCATTACCCTAAGACCAATATTAAGTTTATACTTACAACCTTACATGATCAAGGTTAAAATTTCTCTTTGTTCCTAAATGGAACTAAAGACAGGAGAGGGAAATCTATGGGTACAGACATTTCCTGCGGTTTCTGACAACCACTGCAAGATGGGAAAGAAATATGTGTGAGAAAAAGATTTGCCGACCTGTGATAGATGAGGAAAACAATGGGCATGATATTTTTGAGGGGGAAGAGATGTTAAGTTGGGCAAAAGTCACCAAGTCTTGCCATCAGTCATGGAGAGCTTTGGCATGCTTGCAAGTGATTTGGAGGAGGAGGTAGTCTGCACTGACGTTTGAGACCAGTCTTGAACATCGTTGTTCTTCTCTTTCCCTTCTCCTTTGTCCCTCTCTTCTCCTTTGTCCCTCCCTCCCTTCCTTCTTCCTTCTTTCCTTTCCTTCCTTTAATCCCCTTTCCTTCCCTTCCCACTTCCCTCCCTCCCACTCTTCTTTTCTCCTTCCTTCCTTCCTTGAAGCAAACATGTACTGATAATTGCCAGACTGTTATACCAAGCATTAATTCCTGGTCCTCGAGGAGCATATAGCCTAGAATCGTGTTCTCAACTCTGGGATTAGTTATATCCAGGCGTGGTAATTTTAACTATTTAACAACCTGTGTAGCACAAGCCAACCAATGAGAATGTATGTCAGTCAAAATTTGAGTGTGGAATCCTGGAAGCCCCTTAATGTGCCAGTAGTTAACCTTGTAGTTGCTGGATAGTGGAGAGGTAGAAGGTCCTAACGGAGGTGCGGTAGTAGCCAGGACAATGGGTGGGCAAGACTACTCAGCAGGGAGTAGTTTCAGGGCAGTAGCTATTTACTAAGTGGTAGAAAAGTATTAGTTATTTTACCAATGACTATCATTTAACAATGATATGCCTGTATGGATGAATACCAACTAAATCCTTAGCTCCACCTACATCCAGTGCTTAAAGAGATTGGCTGTGGGATTATGTGATGGAGGAAACCTTTTTCTGGGTCTTGATCTTAGTCTTGAGAAAGATGATTGGCATCAATTGGTGATGAGGAAAAAGAGGGAAACAGCTTAAGTAAAGGTGGAAATTGATAAATCATATACAGCATGCCATTAAGAAACCAACCTATATGGAGATGTGAGCAGCAAGAATGTATTGTAGTAGAATGGGAGGCAAATTTGGAAGAAAAGATTGTATACAGCAAGAGAGAAAAAGAGGTTGGTTGTGGTGTCAGTGGAGAACAGGGAAACATACTAGGGTTCGTTATTTATTTCTGATATAGCAGAAAAAGGGGGAGGGGGGCTTCTGTATGTCCTTGAGCAGGGAGTTGTATGATGAAATGAACATATGAAAGGAAATATTCTGCTGGCTATATGAAGAAGAGACTGAAGAATGCTAAAGCCAGTTTAAGAAGTTACTTTGGCAATTCTAGTAGAGTTAATTATGGCATGGACAAGGATGGTGACTATGAAAGTGAAACAAAGGGTTCAATCTGACAGACATGGCAGGACCATGTGAGGAGTGGAGAGAGGGGAATCAACAAGAAACATAATATATATTATCCTAAATATGACAGCTGGCTTTCTAAATATCCAAAGAAAAATATAAGTCTATGATACTAACTCCTTTAAAATAATATATTTAACTATGTAATTATCCTATTTAATTTAAAAAATAAAGATTCTAACTTTTGAAGACAAGGCAATATGAATTGATAGGCTTTTCACACTAAGAAAAATGCTGCTATATGATATTAATAAGGAATAACATAGCATTAAGCTAAATTTTCTATTGTTGATTTATATTAGCATAGAGAACATACATGATGTTAAATCATTGAAATTTATGTGAAACCTAGCAGACCTCATTGTTCTGATGTTTATCTTACTTAGTAAAAGTTATTTCCAAATGAAACTTTTATCTTTTGAAGATGGGAAGAAATGCTTGATTTTTAACTAAGTTAATTTTAAGTTGACTCTTAAGATAACAGGAAAGCTTTAGGAGCCTAATTAAACCACGTATTTGCTCTAATTACTTTCGCTGGAGACTGCTAGGAAACAAAGGCAGCAAACAGACCTGTCCTGTGTGCAGCAGTCAGGCATTTGATGCTTGTTTTCTCCAGCAGAGGTTTTGAGTAACACAGAAGTAAAGAAGCTGAGAAGCAAAGCCATCATCTGCAAACAGTGGCTGCAGCCACAAATCACAGGGCAGCCCTTATTCCTGCATAGTGTAGAAAGCATCTTTCACTCTACGTGATTTATGTCCCAACACAGAGAAGCAATCGTCATCACTAACATGATTTTTTAATATCAAGGGTAGCACCACATTTTTATCAACATAATTGGACGTTAGCTCATGAAGCTTATAGAGTTAACACTTACAAGATAATTTATACATGGGGCAAGAATAATAGTTCTTTTATACTGGTTACTTTTCCTCTTAGGTTTTATTCTCTTGAATAATGTAATCCATATTTAATACAACAGCTTAATTTTTAAACTAAATAAATCCACACTTCAATTACCCATTTTTAGTACAAGTTGAGTTTAGAACATTCATGATCATGTATGTAAGAAAAGAAGCAGATGAATGTTTTGTTATCACTGACAAGTCAATTCAAACAACTGCTTTCTTAAAACAGGATTCACAGGAAATTCCTTTTAAAAGCACACATCATTAAAGGCATATATTTCTTCATTAGTTGGAATCGGTGTTAAAGATATTGTGGCTATTTATCCATTTACATTAGTTTATAGGTGTAAAATGCCAGTTACAATGCTTCTGTTTTTTATCCCTTGAGTTTAATTGGCAAACTGAAACAAGAACTATTTTTTAAGTCTTATTATTTATTATCCGTTGTTTTAAAAATCTGTATTTCAGACTCTTTGTGCAGATTCCAAACTTTACAGTTGTAATAAATGAATATGTAAGGCAACTTTAGCCTTCTGGGATAAACTGTCCTACAATAAAAACAAAACCAAAAAAAATAATAATAATAAGAGACAGGAATCTATAACCAAAAGAGGCTAGAGCATTAAAGCCACCATCTGGTGAGTTCAAGTCAAATAAAAATTCTCTATATTTTGCCTAAATCATCTAGATATCTGTTTTACTTTGCCTATGAGAATCTGACCTAAACTAAATGACTATTCTATATCATTAAGTTGTCCAGGAAAATGAAAATTTAAATATATGTCCGACAAGCTCTAGCATCTGGTACAATTCAGTAATGCTGGTCTGCTCTACAGAGCTTCAGTGTTGAGATAACATTAGGACTGAGAAGGCTTGGTTGACCTATAGGAAGAAAATAATGTTCTAGTCAGACATTCTCCCTGTTTACAAGTACTCATGCTTGCCAGATTATCTTCCACTGTAGGAAATATACAAAGTAAAATTCCTCTGTGAAGCATCTCACTATAGCTCTAATTCCACTTTGCTGCAGCCAAATAATATACCCTTGGTACAAAATGATCAGCACTGTTCATCTTTCACTGTAATAGTTTAGAAATTATTTTCACACTTCTTTTTTTTAACACATTGATTAATGCTTGATATTTCCCCTTAAAATAGAAAATGTCTCATAAAGTATTATTTCAGAGTGATAAAATTTAACTAGTTTAGATGCTCTCTTATAATTTGTTGACAAGAGAAGAAACATTTCTCCTTTTAAAAGAGCATATAAGCTGAAATATATGAGATCTTTTAAAAGAAGTTTAAAAGTGACCATGGTGACATTTGTATCAACAGCTCCCTTTCAAACTGTGCTACAAACCACATTGTGCCAAATTTACATATCTTTCAAAACAGAAGAGAATCAGGTTAAATGTGATTTTTAAAGTCAACAGAGTAGGGAAAAAAAAAAACTTGCAACAAATACCACAGAGTTTTAATGTATTTATTATGTAAACAAGTTAAACATAAGAAGAAAATACTAAGAATACAATAGACAACACAAAGGACACATTATAGGAAATAATACAATGTCAGTAAATATATATAAATGTTTCATCTCACTAGTAAAAAAAAAAAAAAAAAATGCACATTGAAAGAATAGTGCAGGCCGGGCGCGGTGGCTCAGGCCTGTAATCCCAGCACTTTGGGAGGCTGAGGCAGGTGGATCACGAGGTCAGGAGTTCGAGACCAGTCTGGCCAACATGGTGAAAACCCTTCTCTACTAAAAATACAAAAAGTAGCTGAGCATGGTGGTGGGCACCTGTAATCCCAGCTACTTGGGAGGCTGAGGCAGGAGAATTGCTTGAACCCAGGAGGCCGAGGTTGCAGTGAGCTGAGATCACGCCATTGCACTTCAGCCTGGGTGATAGGATAAGACTCTATCTCAAAAAAAAAAAAAAAAAAGAATAGTGGAATACCATTTCACCCATCTTATCTCTGATTTTTTAAAAATAAGAATGTCCAAAGTGACAATCAGTCTGGTGACAGTGTAAACTAATATGATATTTTTGAAAAATAATGTATTAAATATTCATATCTTTTAGCCTACTAATTCCAGTACTCAGTTTTTACCCAATGGGAATTTTAAAAGGCTATAGACACAAGATATTCGTTGACATGTTATTTATAATACTGAAAAAAATGAAAACAAATGCCCCAAAGTAGATGATTAATTACATTAATATACATTAATTGTGTTGGATAATATGTTGCTTTTAAATGATATTTAGGCTGATGCATAATAATATGGGAAAATATTGTATAATGTTAAGTGAAAAGAACAGGATGCAAAATTATATAAATTGTAAGCCTACTGCTCTTTGTAAAAACTCTATATATACAGGAAAAAGGACATGAGGATTAAAAAATCTCCAGTATTTTCCCATTTGTTTTAATATTCATTTTGATATTTTCAATGTCATGTTATTACTCAAAGCACTTTCAAATGTGTTGCCTTATTTGTCACATTTCTCTTTAAAAAAAAAAGAGAAGAACCTTGTGCTTGGAAAGACTTATAAAATATCCTAATGACTATCAAACAAAATCCCAAATGAGAGCATTTGTTATCATTTTGGTTATAAATGCAGGGAATCTTGTATGTATGTGACTACGCAGCTGAAATATGTAACAGTCACAGACAGGGCTCTCAGCATCCACTCTGGTTCTGCCTCTAGCTCCCTTCCGAAACCACGGCTGCTTCCGGCACCTGTGAATATATTGCACTTATAAACCATTGGCAGCAGAGGGAATGTTATTGAATGTTTGTAATATCTGGGGGACAACCAAAATCAATTTTTCTTTCTCTTAAATTATAGCATCAAAAAGGAGCCATTTATTCAAATACGTGTGTTCTGTTTCTAACAGAGAGCAAATTCTTAAGAGGGCAGAGATACGGTTTATTTTTATGATATACACATTGCCTAGTTTACTGTGGGATTTTATAAAATAGTACCCTTTGCCGTATCAACCCTAGAGCAAGTGTGAACTGACATTCCATTCTTTCAGAGAGAAATGCTGTTATTTCCTCCTGTCCCTCCATTCCTCTTTGCAAACGTGGTCACTCCTTTGATAATTCACGACCCATCTCCACCATTAAGAGTCTGAAATCCTAGTCAAGGAATAACTGGGGTGGTGGGGGAGAGAGGGAGAGGAGTCTAAAATCCTAGTCAAGAAATAACTGGGGTGGTGAGGGAGGGGGGGGAGGGGGGGAGAGAGAGAGAGAGAGAGAAAGGGGGAGAGAGAGAGAGAGAGAGAGAGACTTCAGGAGGTTGCACTTACACTCTGGCAGTTTTTCCAGAAATTAGGGAGGCAGCAGCTCTTACTTTTGTGATGTCAACTTGTAGACTGAAATGCATCAAAGCTCCTCACCTTCTTCTTGTTGACGCGAGGGATGTGAAATGCGCTCTAGAATATGCATTCAGCGTGGTCCTTTGTTCTAGGTATGAGCTTTTCTTTTTCTAAAGTTTTTCGGTCTCGCTCAAGGAAAGGAAAGCAATATTTTGAGATTCTTTTAAAGGCACCTTCCAAAGCATTTCCCACAGAAAAATACCTCACAGCCCAACACTGGTTATTTCAGTAAGAATCGAGTCCAATCTTTTCCAATATGGCTGTATACATTGCAGGCCCCCAAATTTGTGCTTTCGTAGTCATCGTTAATCAAATAGGCAGAAACACTGTATTTAGGGAACCTGTGTTTCGTGGGCTAGAAGTGCATTCTGATTAATAAAGATCATGTTCATTTTGAATTCATCGTGGTTATTCGTGTGCCTTAGAGTCGCGGGCTTCGTCAGGGGTGGAGCGGGCTCGGGAGTGCCTGCAGCGCGGTGGGAAGCGGGTCTGAGCGCCCGGGTCATCAACCCGCTTTCAAGGGGTGCCGACACTTTTTCCCAAGAAGCTCGACCAGCCGCCGTGAGCGACTGGAAAGAATAAACCAGACTGTGACAGGAACAGAGAATTTATGTGATTGACAGGGAATACCAGGGCACCCGACTCCGTCCCGGGTCACCATGGCTCTGGGATTTGCACGAGTTTACCACCACCATTAACAGCTATTTGTGTAAGGTTGTTTACCGCCTGAGAGCGCCACAAGCCGACAGCGAAGCCACTTTGGGACCCCAGCCACGCCCCCTCTCCCCTCTCACCCCTCCCTCCCGCCAAACTAATGAATTCGGGACTGCCTTCTTGCCGGACCCTCCCATTGGCTCCTATTCCAGCCAATCAGAGCCTTGCAACAGTTTCACCTGGCTCCCGCTTCCCAAATAAACAAACAAACCGTCCGGCGACTGTGCGGGCTCTGCACCCCGGCGCCGCCGGCACTGCTTGCGCTCCGCGCCCCCCTGCACCACCTCCCACCAATGGGGCCCCGACTGTGGCGCCCTCTCCCAGCCCTGATAGCCGGCCGCTTTCTCCTCTGCCCCTCCAGGCCTTCTCCCGCCCCCTCATGCCTTCCTCGACTCCCGGGTAGAATCTGCTTGGCCAGAGAGCCCCGCCTCCTCCTCTTAGTCCTCCCTTGGCCCACAGGCCTGGAGATTCACCGGGAGGGTGTTGGCACAGCTGGAGGTGGCTCCGCCTCCCAAGCCCGCCGCCTCCTCCCTTGCACACCTCTACTGGTGGCCGCTCGCGCCCCTCCATTGCGCCGGTAGCAGGATCCGCAGCGGCCGCCGCGTGAGGCTTCGGTCACGTGTTGTTTTGCCCGCTGTCGTGCGCTTAGAGTGGAGTGGGCGGGGGCGCGGGCCAAGGCAGGAGGGGGCTGGGGCGGGCAGACGGGGGTAGACAGCCTCTTCCCCCAACCCTCCCTTTCCTGAATTCCCCCTCCTCCTCGCTCACCTTAAAACCATCGTGCATCACCATGGCGAGTTGCTCCTTCACTCGCGACCAAGCGACAAGAAGACTAAGAGGTGCAGCAGCGGCAGCAGCGGCAGCTCTAGCAGCAGTGGTGACCACCCCGCTTCTTTCCTCGGGAACCCCGACCGCACTCATTGGGACCGGGTCGTCTTGTCCGGGAGCCATGTGGCTCTCCACGGCCACTGGCTCCCGGTCAGACTCCGAGTCCGAGGAGGAGGACCTCCCCGTCGGGGAGGAAGTCTGCAAACGCGGCTACCTGCGGAAACAGAAGCATGGGCACAGGCGCTACTTCGTGCTCAAACTCGAGACTGCTGACGCCCCAGCTCGCCTGGAATACTACGAAAATGCCAGGAAGTTCCGGCACAGTGTCCGCGCCGCGGCGGCTGCAGCAGCGGCGGCCGCCTCTGGCGCCGCGATCCCCCGGCTCATTCCACCGCGACGCGTGATCATCCTATACCAGTGCTTTTCCGTGAGCCAGAGAGCAGATGCAAGGTACCGACACCTCATTGCCCTTTTCACCCAGGACGAGTACTTCGCGATGGTGGCCGAGAACGAGTCGGAGCAGGAAAGCTGGTACTTGCTGCTCAGCCGCCTCATCCTCGAGAGCAAGCGCCGCCGCTGCGGCACGCTCCGCGCGCAGCCGGACGGGGAGCCGGCCGCGCTGGCGGCGGCAGCGGCGGCGGAGCCACCCTTCTATAAAGATGTGTGGCAGGTAATAGTCAAACCCAGGGGGCTGGGGCACAGAAAAGAGCTGAGCGGCGTGTTCCGGCTGTGTCTAACCGACGAGGAGGTTGTGTTTGTGAGACTGAACACCGAAGTGGCCAGCGTGGTCGTCCAGCTCCTGAGCATCCGTCGCTGTGGACACTCGGAGCAGTATTTCTTCTTGGAAGTAGGCAGGTCCACCGTCATCGGTCCGGGAGAGCTCTGGATGCAGGTCGATGACTGTGTGGTTGCCCAAAACATGCATGAGCTGTTTTTGGAGAAGATGAGAGCCTTATGTGCAGACGAATACAGAGCCCGCTGCCGCAGCTACAGCATCAGCATCGGCGCCCACCTGTTAACCCTGCTGTCCGCTAGGAGGCACCTGGGCTTGCTGCCGCTGGAGCCGGGAGGCTGGCTCAGAAGGTCCCGCTTTGAGCAGTGTTGCCACCTCAGGGCCATCGGCGACGGGGAAGACGAGATGCTTTTCACCAGGCGTTTCATAACACCCAGCGAGCCTGTGCCCCACTCCAGGCGAGGAAGACTGCACCTGCCCAGAGGGCACAGGTCAAGGAGAGCGAGTTCAGTGCCGGCCAGCTTTTTTCACCGCCTAGCACCCAGCCCAGCACGTCCCCCGCACCCTGCAGAAGCCCCGAACGATGGAGCTTGCCTGTCTTCTGAAGTGTCTGGCTCTGGCTCTGGCAACTCTGGGGAGGAAGGCAATCCCCAGGGCAAAGAAGATCAGGAAGGAAGCGGAGGCGACTACATGCCCATGAACAATTGGGGCTCAGGAAATGGCCGGGGCTCAGGAGGTGGCCAGGGCTCAAGTGGCCAAGGCTCCAGTAGCCATAGCTCGGGAGGAAACCAGTGCTCAGGCGAGGGACAGGGATCCCGAAGTGGTCAGGGCTCAAGTGGTGGCCAGGGCTCAAATGGCCAGGGCTCAGGAGGAAACCAGTGCTCTGGAGATGGCCACGGCACCGCAGGTGGGCAAGGTTCAGGTGGTGGCCAGAGACCTGGAGGTGGGCATGGCTCAGGTGGTGGCAAGAACTCTGGAGGGGGCAAAGGCTCAGGAAGTGGGAAAGGATCCGATGCTGATGGTGAACGTGGAAAATCTCTGAAGAAAAGATCCTATTTTGGCAAATTAACTCAAAGCAAGCAACAGCAAATGCCACCACCTCCACCACCTCCTCCTCCGCCCCCACCAGCTGGAGCAACTGGTGGAAAAGGGAAGTCTGGGGGAAGATTCCGACTTTATTTTTGTGCTGACAGAGGAGCCACAAAAGAGCGCAAAGAAGCCAAAGAAGTGAAAGATGCAGAGATCCCAGAAGGTGCAGCTCGAGGTCCCCACAGAGCCAGAGCTTTTGATGAAGATGAGGATGACCCATACGTGCCAATGAGGCCAGGGGTGGCTGCCCCTCTTGTAAGCTCCAGTGATTATATGCCAATGGCTCCTCAAAATGTCTCTGCTTCAAAAAAGCGCCACTCTCGATCCCCTTTTGAAGATTCAAGAGGGTACATGATGATGTTTCCCAGAGTGAGCCCACCACCTGCTCCCAGTCCTCCAAAAGCACCTGATACTAATAAAGAGGATGACTCAAAGGACAATGACAGTGAGAGTGACTACATGTTTATGGCTCCTGGAGCCGGTGCAATTCCAAAAAACCCCAGAAATCCTCAGGGTGGCTCTTCCTCCAAAAGTTGGAGCTCCTACTTCTCTCTACCAAACCCTTTTCAGAGCTCACCTTTGGGACAGAGTGACAACAGTGAGTATGTGCCAATGTTACCTGGAAAGTTCCTGGGGAGGGGCCTAGACAAAGAAGTCTCCTATAACTGGGGCCCCAAAGATGCAGCTTCAAAGCCTTCAGGTGAGGGATCATTCTCAAAGCCTGGAGATGGGGGATCACCTTCAAAGCCTTGGGATGATGGGTCCCTAATGAATAAGGCTAAGAGACCTAACCGACTTTCTTTTATTACAAAAGGATATAAAATCAAGCCAAAACCACAAAAGCCCACACGTGAACAGAGAGAAGCTGACAGCTCTCCTGACTACGTCAACATCGACTTCGCTAAAAGAGAGAGCAATACACCAGCTCCCTCTACTCAAGGACTACCAGGTTCGTGGGGCATAATTGCTGACCCCAGACAGTCAGCCTTTTCTAATTATGTGAACGTTGAGTTTGGAGTACTATTTCCAAATCCAGCAAACGACTTCTCCGATCTTTTCAGAGCTATACCACGTGCCAACCCCTTATCTCTGGACAGTGCTAGGTGGCCACTTCCTCCCCTTCCTCTGAGTGCTACAGGTAGCAATGCTAATGAGGAAGAGGGTGACTACATTGAAGTAATTTTCAACTCAGCAATGACACCAGTCATGCCTCTTGCTGACAGTGCCATTCGCTACGATGCTGAAACAGGTCGAATCTATGTGGTCGACCCATTTTCTGAGTGCTGTATGGATATTTCTCTCTCCCCCAGCCGATGTTCTGAACCACCACCTGTAGCTAGGCTGCTGCAGGAGGAAGAGCAGGAGAGAAGACGCCCACAAAGTCGTTCTCAAAGTTTCTTTGCAGCAGCCAGAGCCGCTGTCTCTGCTTTTCCAACAGACAGCCTCGAGAGAGACCTTTCCCCATCCTCAGTCCCGGCGGTTACTTCGGCTGCAGAGCCGACTTTAGCGGTCAGCCAAGTTGTAGCTGCGGCCTCCGCGCTCGCCGTAGCCCCGGGCATCGGCGCAGCAGCCGCCGCTGCTGGATTTGACTCCGCCTCTGCCCGCTGGTTTCAACCTGTTGCTAATGCTGCTGATACCGAAGCAGTAAGGGGAGCCCAAGACGTTGCCGGTGGCTCGAACCCCGGAGCCCACAACCCATCTGCAAACCTTGCCAGAGGTGAGAACCAGGCTGGCGGGGCTGCCGCTGCAGCTGCCGCTCCCGAACCACCACCTCGCAGTCGCCGGGTGCCAAGACCCCCGGAGAGAGAAGATTCTGACGACGACGACGACACTTACGTGAGAATGGATTTTACCAGACCTGATAACCAGTTCGACTCTCCCAAAAGAGGTCGGTAATTTTAAAATTAATTTCCCTAAAGAGAATGGTCATTGTCCAATGATTCGATGTGCTACAGTCTACAGTGTTAGGGATAATATTTCATTAACTGGTGCTATTCGACATGGAGGATAGAATTCAGTTTTAATTATTCACACAATGCCTTTTTGATCTTTGCAAAAATTTGTTTTTATCTAATCAATTTCTTTACCTGGACAGAACTGATTATCATTTAAACATTGGTTCTACTTTTTTAGGAGTAGTTAAAACGCAGACATATAACATAAGGATACTTTCAAACATCCTTCCTCATCATTTAATGATAATGTAAAGCAGGTGTCGTAAATTGGGTTCCACCAACTAATTTTCAAATCAACAATTAAAAGTTGCTCTTCTGCAAATGCCCATATTTAAGTGTGGGAATTTAGTAAGAGCACAGACTATTAAGCAGTAACAATCAACTATTTGTGTTTGGGGAGGATATTTTTCTCCTCCGAAAGTTACTTTTTAAAGAGCAGTCATTGTTATGCTAGTTTGTTGTGATTTACCAAGAAAGTTAAATCTCAATTGTTAACGTGAATGTCTGGGGAGAACAAAACATAAACAATCCAAACCAAGAGGTGATTAAAAGAAGACAGTATTTGGCTCGGGAATGTGTTTGTGTGTTGATTTTCTTTTTGTTTTTACACAGTATAAATTCCAGAAACCTTGAGTGTTCCTTTTCTCTGTCACTAGTAATGACAGGCAAGTCACATTTGCTGTGCCTCATTTTCTTCTTTTAACCCCCCACCCTTCCAAAAGAGGATGTGGTGACAACTTGATAAAGGATATGAATATTATTTCAAAGGCTTAAAAAGCAGTTAAAACTTTTAATTCGTATGTCTTATGGGAAATCAAGGAAAGCAAGATAAGGCTGGAGGAAGACCTGACTCCAGGGGCAGCTTACCCTGAAATGGTGGAAGTTTTTAAAGGGCTACTTTTCCAAAGGAAGAAGTAAGAAAGAGTAGGAGCTGTCAGACTTGGAAACAAGACTTAGAGTAATTTTACTGTGTACAATATTGTGCAGTGTTGTCATCAGTG